TGCTAGTATTGTAAATAACACTGTAATGATTATAACGTGAGTGATAATAATAGCAGTGATATTAATCTGTGTGTATATAAATTTTACAAAGCAATATGACAGTGAACAGCACATGTCCTTGGTAGCATTGGGTTAAAAGACATAAAGAAATTTCTTCTCATTATCACTTTTCCCTTCGTGTCATCACCAGGAAAGTGGCTTGCTAGAGGCTGTAGAGCATTCTCAGCTTGCAATTGCGAAGATCTCTGCGATGTTTCCGACAGTCCCAGAATCTCACATCAAGGATCTTATGAGAAAGCAAGTATTTGATTATGAGTAAAGCCTTTGTGTTATGTGTTTGCTTTTGAATAACATGATGAGTTTGAATGGCATTGTTTTACTTCATTGCATATAACAGGTGATGGCCTCATTGGCTTTGGACACTAACCACTATCCTCTGTTCATATACTTATTTGACTCACAATTGTTCACCTAGGTTTTTAAAACTTTTGTGATTGTGCCTTTATGACTAGTAAATACTGGATGTTGCTATTGTCTGTTTGCTAATCATAAAGACTTTGATGATAATATTGAGATATTGCTATTGTTTTATTTGGACTAAAAACCTGTGAGAATGATACTTCACTTTTCCTATAACTTCATGCTCAGGGTGAATTGCCTAGCTTCTTTATCTTACTAACAAAAAATGAAGGGTATTGCCTGACCCTAGGAAAAGAAAGCACTTAAAATACTTACTTGGCAAGCATGAACTTTCTGTCTCCTAACACATTTTGCAACTCTAACCACAGGTATCATAATAGAGAGGCTGTAGTCATCAGTGCTCTCCAGGTGCAAAAGCATCCACTTGCCACCCCAGGACCTTATGGTACATTCACTCCTCCTCCAATGCGGCATTTCATACCAACTGCAACAGCCCTCATGGCTCTTCAGAGCACAAAGACATCAGTGAACACCACAGGTATGGCAGATGTATCAGCTACAGATTTTACTTCCGGTACAGCAACAACAGCAATCACATCTGAGGACAAAGTAAGCACTCAGATTCATACCACCGCTACAAGTAATGGCACCAGTGTAACCACCACGCTTACTGATCAGCCAGCTTTAACTTCACTTGCCGATCGAGTTCCATACCGCCCAATCTATGAGCGTGCACGAGGAACTCATCTCCTGGAGGAGAAAACAAGAAGATCTCCTTTGGTAGGACAAAGAGGATCAGTGGAAAAGTCTGCTGGATCTCCCAAAAGGAGACATGGTTCCACAGATAGATCTGTTGGTTCACAAAGGCTGGGACAGGGGTCCCTAGAACGATCTATAGGTTCCCCCTTCCTGGGCAGGGACTCACCCCTTTTATCATCACGAGCATCCTCTCCTCACACTTTCATGGATGGCTCTCCTCGACCGACCACACGATCTGTTTCAGAATTTACACGATCTCTGATGGGATCTCCACGACCATATTCCCCTCGATCGACCCCCCACTCTCCCAAGATTAAGCTCAGGTATTCAAGCTTTTAAGTAATGAAAATGTGATTTCATTTGCTCTGTACTTGAATATCCCTTTTTTCCCTTTATATGAAATTAGAAATAATTTCAGTTATTCACAAATATATTACCATAGTTGCCTGCTAGTTCTGGATGCACCAAATGGATGTTATCTTCTGGTAATTGTTATTGTTATTTATTTATTTTCTATTTTATTTTTTTTTTTGTATTGCAGGGGAAGCTAACTCCCATGGTACAATGACACATGGTGTTTATTGTGTAGATTTGATGCATGAGATGACAGCCTTATAATCAAATAGGTCAAGAGTGCTGAACTTGTATGTAGGTATATCTTTTATGAATATTATGCCTTAGTGCTCATGTTTATTATGACCCTTATGTATAGCTATGAGTTATTTTGATATGACCTGTATGATGTGGTGTACATGTGTTTTAGTTTTGTTTAAGTTAAACATTAATTCCCTGAAATATTTAATTTTATCTGCTCTTATTCACTTTAGTTATGTGAAATCTGCTTTATGTATGTACATAGAAAAAACAACATTTATTACTTATTTCAGTACCCTATTCTATGATCCTGTTACTGTATTGTGAAATTTGCATGAATTTTGCATAAGGAACCCTTTTAACAAAATCAGAATGTTATGGTTATTATTGTTGTTAATATTACTGTTGCTAGCAGTATTGTTGCCATTGTGTTCTTGTCATTGGTGTTGATATTATTATTATTATTACTGTTATTGTTATTGTTTTTGTTATTATTATTATTATTATTATTATTATTATTATTATTATTATTATTATTATTATTATTATTATTATTATTATTATTATTATTATTATTGTTATTATTATTATTTATTATTGTTATTATATTATTATGATTAATAGTATTATTGTTTTTGTTATTGTTGTTTTATTGTTTTTATTACGCTGTTATTATTCATTGTTATTATTATTATTAATTATTATTATTATTATATTTATTTATTATTATTTTATCATTATTATTATTATTATTGTTATTATTATTATTTAATATTAATTATTATATTATTTATTATATTATTTTATTATTTGTTATTATTATTATTATTATTATTATTACTTATTATATTATTTATTTATTATTTATTATTATTATTATTATTATTATTATATTATTATTATTATTATTTATTATTATTATTATTATTATTGTTATTGTTATTGTTATTGTTATTATTATTATTATTATTGTTATTATTACTATTATTGCTGTTATTATTGTTTTAATATTATTATTATTGAATTAGATTGTTATTATTATTATTGCGTAATTTCAATTGATTTCTCTAATCATTAGCCCTCTTGATTTCTCTTTTCGCTTTTGATCATTACACTAATTTTGTCATCCTTACAGCTATTCTTACCCCCATCGAATCCTTACAGGTATCTTAAGGGAATATTCCCCAAGGTAGAACCCACCATCATCTTAGATATCCTGACGCAATGTAATTACAATGTCAAGGATGCATCAGAGAAGTTGGTGGAGATGGGGCATGAAAAGAAGGACATATCACTGGCCCCTCCGAAGCTGAAGGACCGACCAGACGGAAAGGAAAACAAGGCCATTCCAAAGCCGTCGCCCGGACCCCCACGGCCTAAGAACTTGAGCGAGAAGCACAAGAAGAAAGGTTGAAGTTTGCTTTTCATTTGCGTTTATTGAATTTTACAGATGGTTGGGTGACATATGTTGGTATGGTTAGGTATTTCTTTTCCTAATTTCGGTCATTTGATTTTGTTCTTCCTATTTTTGGTCAATTAATTTTGTTTTCGCAGTGCGCAACCAACTCATTTCGGATTATCCGGACATCACACCAACTGTTGTAACAATGGCACTTCAGTCAGTCTTTTATGAGGAGGAGCGGGCTCGGCAGGTCCTTGCAAATATGGCTGAGACGGAACGCAAGACTCAAGAGACTCTTGCTAGCACAACTCCTCAAATGTCAAGGTATTTGTTTTGTATGTTAATGCCATTGTTAAAAAAAAAATGTGAGTATTTAAATCTTGTGACTTTAAACAAAAATAAATTATGATTCTTTATGTATTTATGTTTCTATATATATAAAGTTGTGGATCTGTGAACAATTGAATTTTGATAAACATTCTATGAAACAAGGTCCATGGGATCCCCCCATTGTGTGTTTCATAAACTCCCAGAACAAAGCAAACAATTTAAATATCATGCTTTAAAAGTTTCTTTGGAAGTTGTTCAAAGAAGCAAGTTCTAGGGGTCACTTACTTGATTTAATTCTGCTAGTCTTTAAAGTTATATTAGTATAGATATGACGTTACCAACTTTAACTAAATTTGTAAAGTATTCTAAAAATTATTTATTTTATCAACAGGCGTTCTGAGACCAAAGATGTTAATCTTAATGTTATTGGCTCTCCACCAATGACAAGACGAGAAGGTGTAAAAGCATCAAGACCAACCTTGCCACGAACGAGAATCAACACTGCTTGGACAGCAGCTCAAACGTAAGTCAATTAGGTTTATTGGGATGAAAAAGGAGTACTCTTCAAATTTCTCTTTAGAGGCCTATTTTATATAGCATCAATTTTTTAATTTCATTTACTATGTTATATATGGTTGTAGCTGGAATAAGATTTACAGTATAAAATATGCTGTTTTAAGATGACCATTTATCGTTATGTTGAAGTGTGAGTTGTAACAGACTGATTAGATAATAACTGATAAGATTATGTATCTGGGTCAACATTTTGGTGATATCTTGTGTCACTGGTTTGGGCAGTGCAAGTATACATAAAAGTTGTTTGAAAGAGTCATGGCACATAATAATCTGGGGTAAGTCTATGATTTTTTTTTCTTTCTCTCTCTTCTCTCTCTCTCTCTCTCTCTCTCTCTCTTCCTCTCTCTCTCTCTCTTCTCTCTCTCTCTCTCTCTCTCTCTCTCTCTCTCTCTCTCTCTCTCTCTCTCTCCTCTCTCTCCTCCTCCTCTCCCCTCTCTCTCTCCTCTCCCTCTCCCTCTCCCTCTCCTCTCCCCTCTCCCTCTCTCCCTCTCTCCCTCTCTCTCCTCTCTCTCCTTCTCTCCCCTCCCCTCTCTCCTCTCTCCGTCTCCTCTCTCTCCTCTCTCTCTCCTCTCTCTTCT